AATATACACTTTAAAATAATGAAAATCAGTTTAAGTACAATTCAGTAAAAATATTACATCTGTTTTAGGAGGAAAAGCTTTGTTTAAAAGCCTTCAGCTTTAAAAGTACAATCTTTAGCTCACTGGGGGAAAGGTATGATATAAAGGTATTTTTAAGTAAACAAATCCATGGTTATTATGTAAAGAAGAATGAATGTTATTATGATGTTCTCCCCACTGGATGAGATCATGACAGTTTTTACATTTTAAAGTTTTTATTTTCATTTTTATATAGGCTAGATATTTATATACTCATGTAAAAGTCAATGCTAGCTATAATTCAAGGGCAGGTTTTGGGGATAATATTTTGGATATTGATATGACCTATGGATAAATCAGGGATTGTTCCATAAAGAGGGGAAAGTCCCAATGCTGAGTTAAGGTCCTTCTACACAGGCCCTAAAGCCTGTGATAGGGAACGAGTTTATGTGAGGTGTCCAAATGACACCTCAGGTAAATCTGGATTAATGAAAAGTAAACCAGGGTTTCTCAGTTTACTCCTCATTAATTTGACACCTGCAAAGATCTGGACCTTAAGATAAGGATCTTTGCAGGTTCTGGGCCTGTGGGGATTGACTCCTGGGACTGCTTCCACAGCCCCAGGGGACAATTCCCACAGCCATTCTGGTTTGTCAGGTTCCTGGAACTGAAGGAGCAGGAGGGTGCCCACCTCCTCCCCCAATCTCCCATTTCCTTACCTCAAACTTACCAGAGGGACCTATTGGTAATGTATAGTACTTCTGATGTGAGAAATGCTTCAGGAGGCACACACACACACACACACCTCCTTTGGTAAGTTTTGGGGTGGGAAATGGGGGGCTGGGGTGGGTGGATGCCATCCCCTGAGTGAAAGCCTGGGGTTGTGGGAGGGGGTGGGTACTGAAACCTCGGAGAAAGTGTGTGTTATTTAACCTGCTTCCTCCCAGGTTTTAGTTAAGTGTGGAAGGGCCCTTAAGGGTCGAGTTATCCCTATTGATCACTGCCATTTTCCCACCTAAGCATTTAAAAAGGCCAGAAGTGATCTGCGATGGAGAGATAACAGGGGATTAGATGCTTATTTGAGTTCTCTCTAATTCCCTATTTTAAAAAGAGTTAAGGTACAGTACTCACATCAACGCATAGATTGGGAGAGGGTGTGTGATTTTTTTTTAAATTTCAAGGCATATACCTGAGCTTATAGAATATTTGTTCATTTTGGAAACTCACACAATATCTTGATGGAAATATACCCAACACAGTACATGCAAAAATTGTAAAGCACAGCTACAGTTCAGTAACCGTTGATCACAGCATGGGAAAGAGACATTGCAGGAATTAAGAGCTTTGCTTGCTGACGATTTAATGTTTAATAAGCCATCTAAAAGTGAACAGGAGGAAGTCTGGAAGCTGAAAATGCTCACATCAAAGCATGCATGTCTCTTATACATGGAAATTGAAAGAAGGTTTCTCCTGAAGATATTTATTATTTATTTATTTATTTATTTATTTATTTCTTGCACTTATTAACCGCCACTCTCAGCCCTAGGGCGACTCGTGGCGGTGTACAACAACATAAAAAAGACGGTTTACAATAGATCCAGACAGTAACAACATTCTACTACTACATAACAACTACTTATACTAAAAATCCGCTTCGTCGTATCATGGGGTCATAATCAATCTCATAGTCGTAGTCCATTCCGGTCGTCATTTCCAATAACATAGCACTCAGTTGAAGGCCATCTCGAAGAGCCATGTTTTCAGGCCCTTACGAAAGGCCATAAGGGAGGGCGCCTGGGATACATAACATTAGTATACATAACATTAGTATGTCCTTATGCATAAGGAACAGTTACATTGGATTGAAAGCTTATTAAATCCAATGGATAAAATTGTCAGGGTGAGAATCAACTCCTTTAAAATGTCATGTTAAAGGAAAACTCTTAGACTGGACTGGCAAAACTAATGAATGAGTACTAGAGCAAGTCAAAACTCTCACTAGGAGTCAGAATGACCAACCTGTGTGGGTATTGTACTTTGAACATATTATGAAATTAGATAACTTATTATATTTGGTACAGTGGAAGAGAGTAGGAAAAGAGGAGGACCATGTTACAATGAAATCGTCCCAATCAAGGAATTCAGAGTCTTGCATTTGTGAGACATGAGGACAGGGCTGTTGATGCCAGGAAAGATAATATCCCCCACCCCTCTACACAAACTCTCACACATAAGTGTCCTAAAGCATTACAAATATGTTTGTGCTTTAGTTTTTTTCAGTGGGGTGCTATGGAAATCAAGACTGAGACATTTTGTAAGCAATCTTTACATTCCTAGACCAAGTGATAGAAGTTGTTATCCAAAAGAAGCAACTTTTCTAAGTTCTTCACAGAAGCCTGGAGGAAATATACAGTGCTCCTGTGTATAATTTGAGTTTGTATTTCAAAGGTACAGTTATACGTGACAATTTTTACAAGTCAGCTTGCAGTGGAAGCATATGACAGTTGTGTTGAAGGACCTCAAAAATGCCTAGAAAACATACTTCTCTGTGCACTCTCTAGGTCCTTCAGCCCAATTCTATGGTATGTTCCTGCTAGAATCCCATGACATCATTTATTTCAGGCAAGAAAAATAGGGCTCTAAATTATGTGCAAAAAAAATTATTCATATAATACATGCACAGACTTTGTAGTTGTCAAGACAAGTAGCCACTGATAACACAGAGGCATAATAGTTATTGGAGACTGAAATTTCAATGAGTATTTCCCACTTCTTCACTTTCTAAATGTAGTTTTCTTTTAAAAATAAATACTTGTGCATGTTTTTATTTGCATGATTCCCTGGTTTGGAATAGGATTGCAGATGTACAAGATCTTTTGAAAATATGGCATCTTCTTAGAGAAAATTATATGCCCAGTGGCTCCATAACCTTCCGCAGTAGCGATAGCATCACATAGTTGCCAATCCTCCACTGCTGTTTTCTTTTGACTGTGCTCCTTCCAATGTACTTTAAGGTAAAAACTCGCCATGCTCAAGTGGTTCTTTAATACAGGCTTAAATAAACCACAGATGAGGAAAAACACAGCATTACTCAGGTCTCTATATACTCATTAGTACCCTGTTATTTACCTGTGCTTAGAAGGCTTCTGTCAACATAATGAATAATACATTTTCCTCCATAAAATGAATGAACCAAAAGCACATATTTAGCCAAGCCAAAGCACACACAAACATGAGATCTTAAAATTAAAAGTTTTTTAAAAATATATATAAGAATATAAGTACATATTTATTCAAGAGGCAGCAGGCGTGTTTTTGATCACCTGATTAAATATGCATGAACAGAGCTCAGAATGTCCTTGTTAAGAAAGGACAAGCAAATAAACCAGGATTCTTTCAAATACGTATTCTAGGCCACTTCTTCTATAAAATGAATCTTATGGGTCTCAGATAAGCTTTAATGCAATGTCAAAATAGGTCATGCAGAGCAAAACAACCCAATAAAGCCTACCCCTGGTTTATCCCTTAAAGGGTATGTATTATAGCAAGCTAACTTTGAGGCCATAATTGATTTTCAACTGGTTGGGTAAAAAGCTGAACGACTACAGTCAGCTCTTCCTATTTGCTGGGGTGAGAGGTGCAGGATCCCAATGGAAGTAGAAAAACTGTAAATAAGAAAAAAACATTTTGTTTGTTTCTTTGTTTGTAGAACACCTCCCTAGGAATCTGTGCATATATGTTGTGATAGAAGGGTGTTATATCTAGGAATCTCTAGGTCTTCAGAGTAACTCTGTGATTGACTTTGGGTGGAAGTTGACCGTATAGTCTCAATGGAGTACCAACATAGTCTTAGAAAGATCATATCCATCAAATTCGTCAATAATTAAATCCACAAAAGTTAAATCCACTGATGTGGATGGTCAACCAGAATTTGAAATGATCCTCCCTAAATTCACTATCCAGTTTTCAGATGGGATAGTTCAACAATAAATAAAGGCACAATAGTAAAACTATCAAAACAAGCATGAAATTATCAACCTACAACCCAGAAACATATTATTTCTCTTCCTGTAAGATGCTTTGTTTTCAAAGAACCTTCTATTCCTTCTTATACAGAGATATAGGCAATAATACTTCCTTTCTTTGTATTCACATTCATAGTGTCTGGCCTGAGGTCAAAGCAGAATGATGGCAGGAGTGAACAACAGTATTCTATGCCATGACTCTGGTGGCTTTTGGCCAAGCAATTGCCAAATTCTGCCATTAAATTTAATCTGAATTGAGTAGTAGTGTTCCCCATTTCACCACATTTTGAAATCTGTGGGGAGGAACTGATGACTCACTTTCTGTTTTGAACAAACGTTCTGCACAGGTCTTTTAAAAGATAGTCATCTAAAATATCCTAAAATGCTGTAACATCCCAGTCAATTCCTGGGAGACATTTGAGAGCAAATCAGGCCTAAAATTATATATATAGGTTGCAGACCTCCAGAGTCCCACAAGGAGCAATATGGTCCTCCATCCCTTTACAGTTACCATATGTTTCCTAAATAGATATAGAATAAATGATAGAGGCACAGAGGGTTCCTGGATAGTATACCCAGGGCCACTCCTATCTTCCCTTTGAGAAAGCTGTACATGGCTTTCACAGTGTATGCATTTTATCAATTTTGGCAGAATTGAGTTTCATTTAATTCTTCTAATCATTTCAGCATACATTGCCTCATTGAGTACAATGCGGATTCTAACATATATTAAATAAAATCAGTCAATCGGTATATACAGTTACAGTTCATTTAATGAGGAAGGGGGAAAATGAGGAGTTTGATAGGAATGGTAGGTGGGAGAAGAAAGGGAGAAAAATAATGCCATGTAAATATAATTACCATTAAAAAAATCCACTATCCCCAAAAATTGTTGTTTCATATCACAAACTTCCTTTACACTTATTCTGTCTCTCCTGTTTCTCCCTTCTTTCATAGTCAGCAGACACAACAGCACTGAGTCATACAGTATCAGCTCTTAAGCCCAATACCATGTACGAGTTCTCTGTGATGGTTACAAAAGGTCGAAGGTCAAGTACATGGAGTATGACAGCTCATGCTACTACATATGAAGCAGGTATGTAGTTTCGACTTCAAGGCAATCAATTTTGACATTTATTTTAATCTGATTTATTTTGTTTTAGATTAAAAGTCATAATTCTGTAATTTGCATATTATACAAGAAAGAAATATTTCCTTTTATCTGTCTTAAATGCTCCACGGTTTTGTTTCAGTGGTAGATTCATAGCAGCAGGAAGGGATCCCAAAAGCCATCTAGTCCAAATCCACTGCAAAAATTTGACCATCTGTCCTCCAGTTAAGGAATGCCCAGTACCTTCCAAGATAGTCCCTTCCTTATCAGATAACTTTTCTTGCCAGGAAGCTCTTTCTAAAGTTTACTTAGACTCTCATTTTGTGAAATATGACTCCACTGATTCTGGTCCTATATTCTACGATGGATGAAAACAAGCTGACTCCTACATGAAAACTCTTCTGATATTGAATGATGGCTAATATATCTCCTCTTCTCCAGATTTTTTTTCTTTCTTAACGTGTTTACTTTTCTTTTCCAATATGTCACATTTTGTTTTCTGGATTTCCCTTCCTTCTGCTAAGCCCCAACCTCTGCTCCCAAGGATCTGACAGTCATTACTCGTGAAGGCAAACCTCGGGCTGTAATTGTGAGCTGGCAGCCTCCGTTAGAAGCCAATGGGAAAATTACAGGTAAATTGCTTTTCACATCTTTTGTTCTCTTTCACATGTAACATATTGTTACAGCACTGGTTTTGGTTGGGATATGCTGAAGAAAACAGTTCTGACCTGTAATTGTTCTGGGAGTCTACTTCAAATGGATACCATTCTGGTTTCCAAATGCTAACAAGATCTGCATATGGGGTTGCCCTGTATTTCACATGCATTTCTTGTGAAAGACTAACAGTGCAATTGCATCATTCCCTGAAGTGCTGCCTTACAGCAAGCTGCAGAGATTTCTCATTTGTGGATTATGGTAATTTTTACTACTGTGATATCTTTGAAAATAAGGGTGGACTTTTAATGAATTCCTACTTACAAACATAGGGAATCACATTACATTAAGTGAAGCCAGTGGACAATCTAGCTCAGCCGTCTTCTCCCCAAGGCTCCTTGCTGAAATCCTGCAATCTCAGGGCTGTTGCTTCCTCGATTGAATCTATTCACCTGTAGTGCAACTTTCTTGTTTTCTTTCCACCTCAACAAGCATTATTGTCTTTTATAATGAGTCCCGTCTCCTCGTGATACATGCAAAGTATCTCCCAAAGGTGGGGAGAAGACAAATCTACTTTTGGCTTGTGATACAGTGAGTGAATGGTAGACAAGTGAGAAGATATATAAAGATATAGAATACACGCAGAGGGGCACCTAGCAAAAGGAAGCAATAACTTTTATATGAGTTTCTAATTTCAGGATGCCATCTTGTTGGGAAAACTTGGGAAATCTTGTGGATGCAGATTACACTTAGTCTGATTTCTTTTTGTAAGAGCACTTTGGTAAATTTATTGTGCACTTATTGTGTCCTTGCCAGCAGATTCCTATTATTACTTTACAGCTACTTTCTGTGTAATGTAAAGGACACTAGCAACCTATTCAAACTGTTCACATGAAGTGTGGATTCTGTCCAAGACATAGATTTCTAGCTTGTGATTTCTGCCCATATAGGATGCCATGGGGTTGGAAATTAGCTTTTTCTTGTAACTTCAGTCTATGTGGATGAACACTTTTCACTCATTCTGGCATCTAAATTTAAATAACTCCATATTCAGTGGCAGTGCACCTTACCTATTTTGTAATTCATAAAACCCATGAGTGTATAGCCATCATCCATCCAACCCTGCCATTTCTAGCCGGCAGCTCAAGGAGGAGGTATATGTTGGGGAGGGGCCAATACTCATAGCAGGTGATCTACATTCTATTTTGACGTGAATGCCATTGTAATTATTTAATTTTATATTCCCCAAATTGATATGTTAATATTAATTGCCATCAAGTTAGCTTCACCTTATGGTGGTCGTATGGATGAGAAACTTCCAAGTCACCCTGTCATCAACAGTCCTGCTTAGATCTTGCAGGTTCAGGACATTCACTTCCTTGATTGACTCTATCCATCTGGAATGCAGCCTTCTTTTTCTGTTGCCTTCTATTTTACCAAACATTATTTTCTCTTCTAGCAATTTCTCATGATCCAGCTGTCTCTGGCTGGATCTACACTGCCATATAATGCAGTCTGAAATTGCATTGCATAGCAGTGTAGATCCAGCCTCAGTTTAGTCATTGTGGCATCTAGGGAGAATTCAGGCTTGATTTACTTACAAATCATTCACAAAATATAAATTAAAAACAGGCAGCTTCAGGAGGAGGACTGAGGTCATAGTTAGTTGCTGCTAGTGATCTTTTTGTTCTTGATTTTAAATGTCACTAATATGGCTAATAACCGATTTGTTGCTTTTGGAAAACAAGTTATGAGTAATGTGGTGTAATGTGGTCCAAAACAGCACTAGCTAAGTATAGCCTGTCTCCTTTGAATGAATGCCTGAAGGAGCTAATGGGCTGGATAAGGAAAAACAACCTCTTTTTGTAGAAATTCAATATGGCTTCTTCTTCTGGCCCCAGATCTCTTCTGTAGTATCTCACAACTTAATTTGAGGTTTCTCTTCTTCCCACTGTATGTTTTGTTGCTGGATTTGTGTCTGGGTTCCATTGTGTATCGATTCCCTCTGGATTCTTTCTTCATGATCCTTTATTTGTTTATCTTCCATTTCTTCTTCCATTTTTTCTATTTATTTGGCTCCCCTTGCTCATATTACCTTTCCAATTTCCATTGTCCTTCTTTGGGAGCCACTAGAAAATTCTTCAAGATGGTATTTATTTATTCCAGCTTATTGTTGGCACTATTGATTAATCCATTCAGAATTTCCAGTTGTTTCATAACTTCTATATATTTAGCCAATGTCTTATTGTGTCAGTTTCCTTTCTTCATTTTAGGATGTTTGAACTGAACGTTGGAATTGTTATGTAAACACTTTTGTCCACTAAATGTTGTATTTTGATGAGTTTTCTAATAATCATCTTTTATGAACAAGCTCCTATATTTAGCAATGCTTCAGGGAGATATTTTATAAATAAATGGAATATTTTGACACAATTGAAGATTCATCTCTTCCAGTAGGCCTAACCAGTCAATTTTAATCCAGTGAATGTTAATCTCCATTTTATCAGTGGATTTTAACTTCTATTTTAACTCTGTGTATCTTGTTGTGTGTATTTTAATAGTGTTTTAATTATCTCTCGTTTTAATTATTTGCATCCTGCCTCAGCCCGCAGGGAGAGGCAGGTGATAAATTCATTGTTGTTGTTTTTGTTTTTGAGAAAAAATTTCAAGATTTTATTAAAAGACAGGTTTGAATCTTATAGTATCTGAGAGAGTGCAAAAGTGATTGTTTGTGGGTAGTGCTAGTCCATCAATAATATCTGTAAGGCCAGGGCAATGGCAGTTGGGATGGATGAAGGGGCTTTTATCTGGTTTTAGGCCTAGACATGATAGAACCTTGTTTGCCTCTTCTGCTTTCCTTTCAAAGTCATTTTAGTAGCAGCTGAGGTGGAGAGAGAACATTTTATCTGCAAAGCCATGTTTCTCTTGTTCTTCTCTCCCACCATAGTCAAGGCAGTGGCAGTTGGGGTGGAAGGCGGGCCTTTTGTCTTCTTTTGGGCCAAACATATTAGTCAATGCTTGATAAGTAATGACATGATGAGGTACTTCTGTTACATCATGTGGGACCAAGCCTGTAACACAAGAGGACATCCTAATAAAGTCTAGATTTTGGCTCAAAAATCTTAGGGCATGGCATAAGCATGCTTGGCAAGTCTATTCATTATAGGTTATCACTGTGCAGCACATAGGTGCATCATTAACTTTGCCTAGAACAGCCACTTCTGGAAGTAAATATACCAATAGTTCCCGTCATTTTCTTTGTTTTCCACCCATTCTGGTGGCAACAAAGCCCATGAATTAAACTAGCACAAAAATTATAGGAGGTGTTAATGAAAAACAAAACAAGCAATCATTTTTTTCTTTTCATGGAAGAATGCACTAAGCATTTTTTTAAAAAAAATACACACAGTCCTTCAGAGCAAAGGTCTTCAATGTGTTATCCTAAGTGGCAATTAAGGATGTCTCATAATAAGCAAGTTGTTTGACAATAATGTAAAACATAACATATATAATGATAGGGTGCCTTGGCTGACATATTATGGTCAAATTTATTGGTGGATGTTTAACTTCGTAATAACAAGGTAAGGCGCTGATCATCTGAAGGCCCTTAATACTGACTGACAAGGACTGAACCTAATGAATGGTGTATAACGGCAGATCTTATTCCCCAAAATATTGCTATAACATGAGTACCTAATTAAGATATCCATTAGGAGCCTGTACTGTTAATTGGCTCTGAAAAATAAAACAAAGCTTTTCTTAAAGGAGAAAAAAAGAAAGGAAAAAAGAGGAGCAGAGGTTGTTGCAATTAAATGAACCCTTTAGGCAATGAGCAAACATCAGAAGTATTTTATTATTAAGAGAAATAAAGTGCAACTCACAGTATTTGCACAATATATGTGGTCTCATGAATGTGAACAATAGAGTTTGAAATCTGAATTTCATATACAGTGGAGTCTCCCAATCCACTAGCTCCCAATCCAGTTTATTATTTTATTTATTTATTTCAAATATTTGTACCCACCCACCCTTCTCAACTCCCGCAGGGGGACTCAGGTCGGCTTACAGCTGGCAATGATTTGATGCCCCCACATACAACATAATAAATACAGTAACTATATATAAGTAAAAACATTAAATTACTTTAAAATTAAATCCATTTAAAACAGTATTGGCTGATTAGCCTTATTTAGAGCCAAAATTCTGCGACCAGTGACACAATTAGAAGCTTTTCCAAAGTCCATGTTCCATAGCATTGTCATCATTGTCATTGTTAGCCTGCTACCCGAATGCCTGGTCCCACAACCACATTTTCAACTTCTTTCTGAAGGAAAGGAGGGATGTAGTTGACCTAATTTTGCTGGCGAGTCAGTTCCACAGGCGGGGGGGGAACCACAGAGAAGGCCTTGTCCCTCGTCCCCACCAAGCATGTTTGTGACAGAGGCGGGATCGAGAGCAGGGCCTCCCCAGAAGATCTTAAATTCCAAGGTGGGATGTAGAGGGAGATATGTTCAGACAGGTAAGCTGGGCCGGAACCGTATAGGGCTTTATAGGTCAAAACCAGCACTTTGAATTGTGCTCAGGACTGGACCGGCAGCCAGTGGAGCTGACATAACAGAGGGGTGGTATGCTCCCTGTATGATGCTCCATTGTGTAATCTAGCTGCCACCTGTTGGACTAGTTGGAGTTTCTGAGCAGTCTTCAAAGGCAACCCCACGTAGAGCATTCCAACCCATACCTAAAATGGTGTTGACTTGCAAAGAAACATCATTACCATTTAATAATGTGGACTGGGAACATCATGTTTTTGCCATTTGTGGAGGTTTTGTTTAATTCTATTGTATTCTGTTTTCCTCTTCTGATATTTTAACACTGTATTGGCTTTCTTTGAATTGCAAAACTTTGGGTCCAAAATTTGGGAGCAAGCCAAAAATTATGGTGGTGGTGATTATAGTAATACTTGTGTAAAAGCAGTACTGTACATTGAGATATTGCTCACTCTGTATAGAGAAGACATAGGTAGGACATGCCAGTGGAATGTATTGAGAAGAGTCTTTTCCTTACAATAGGAAGAATTAAACAATTTTTAGTAAATACTTATTAACTAATAGACAGGAGTCAAATCCTCACGCAGCCTAAAGAATATATATATATATATGTATTACAGCATACATCCTTTTTTACACCTTGGACAAGAACTCCCCCATTGACACTTGGGTTATGGAATCCATCAGCGGTGACCGGCTTACACATCAAATCATGGACCTCAATTTGGACACTGTCTACTACTTTCGAATACAAGCTCGTAACGCCAAAGGAGTTGGACCACTCTCTGATCCTATTCTTTTCCGGACTCTAAAAGGTATTTGTTCATTTTGATTTTATTTGAATAACTGTGGGGTGTAAAACAAAATCAAGTTCTGAATTTTAACATCAATAAAGCCAAAAGCAGACCGTGTGCCATTCTTCTGGCAAGACTGTAAAACATTTTGGCATAATTGATTGCTTCCAGAGGAAAGAATAAACAGCAGTACCATAGTCAATAGGAGTTCAATAGAGCCTCGATGGTAGCTCAGAATAATGAAGTGGCTGTGTATGCATCAAAACCATTGAAGGAAATCACTCGAGTTATAGCGCCATCAAATATGGGACTTTCTTTGTCCCCATTTCCTCCAGCTAGGCTTCTGTTCATTTCTGTATTGATTTTTTTGTGAATGGGAAGCCAGCAGTGATTCACTGAAGTGAGGTTAATGGAGGTTCAGAACTGCAGTCATCTTGTTTGTATGGTTTGTGTTATGTATTTAAAAGGAATAAGTGCAGCAGAATTGCTTTTTGAATATACCAAAAGTTTACAAAAGTGTTGTAAGGGGCAACATTTTCTCTTCCCCATATAAAACAAACGATCATTACATCCTGAACTGGCAATATGAAAACTGTGTGTTAGAGTAATTCTAAAGATTTGTTTATTTTGTTTTGTACTCTGAGAAGGCACAACTGTAAAAGACTGTTGCAAAAAAGGAACTGAAATATAACTGATGTGAAGATGCAATCTGCATAAGTAGTGAACCCAACTGATAACCTTCATTTAATGATTCCTACCTTGTAGGGGGTGTCTAGGACTAGATTGGCAATATAAACAAAATGTGAGCTCAAACCATGATTTGCTTACTTGTTTGTTTATTAACACACTTTTATTAAAATATTGTTATTCCACCTTCTATCTACCTACCTACCTACCTACCTACCTACCTACCTATCTATCTATCTATCTATCTATCTATCCACTTGAAAATGAGTGTATGTGGCAGGGTGCCTGCATGTGGCACAGTGTCTAGCCTCTACAAACAGACTATTGTTCCCACTGAGCTGGAGACACCATTGTCCTCTCAAAACCGACATTATAGGTTACCATGAACATGTCCAGGAGCCCTGCCAATGTTACCCAAAAACGTCATCCTGTCCACCACCCAAATGAAGGCTTTCATATGGGTACCATTTCAGTCTAGATTTTCTGTTTTTACTCCATCAAAGACAACTCCCAGGGTTCCTTTCTCTCTCATTTGCATGACCCTGCCCACTGTCTCTCCCTTAATTAACCTTTTCCTATGGCACACTGCAAACAGAGGAATTGATCAGCAACTGAACACCTGCAATCAATGAACACTCTGGACACCACCAACAATGGCCTTGGACCTCACTTAACATGCAGAATCCTCATGACCACCAAAAATGCAGAAGGATTTGGGGGAAAATTCACCTTGATTTTATAGGAATTATAGTTCACCAACACCCAGAGAGCACGGTAAACAAAAACAATGGATCTGGGTCACATTTGGCATGCATACCCAATATTCCTAAATTTTAATACTGGTGGATTTGGGGTGGAATTGGCCTTGACATTTGTTAGTAGTTCACCTGCAATCAAAGACCACTCCAAACCCCACTGATGATGGACTAGGACCAAACTTGGCACTGAGAATCCCCATAACCAACTGAACATTCTGCAGGGGCTTGGAAGGAATTGACCTTAATTTGGGAAGTTGTAATTCATATGCATCCAGATGAACAGTGACCCCCATCAATAATGGACCTGGACCAAACATGACAAAGGGAAGCCCCATGATCAACTGAACATACTGTGGGAGTTTGTGGGAATTGGCCTTGATTTTGGGAGTTATAGTTCACTTGCACCCAGAGAGCATTGAACCCAGCCAACAACGGATCTGGACCAAACTTGGGACACAGACTCAACACAGTCAACTGTGGATACTAGCAGGGTTTCAAAGTGATTGCCCTGGGGATTTGGGAGTTGTGGTTCACCCTTATCCAGAAAGCAGTGAACCCATGTAATGATGGATCTGGACCAAACTTGGCACACAGACTCAACATGGCCAACTGTGAATATTGACAGGTATTTCAGGAAGATTACCCCAGGAATCTGGGAGTTGTAGTTCAACCTCATCCAGAGAGCACAAAACCCAACTAACAACGGATCTGGACCAAACTTGGCACATAGACCCAAAAACAAACAATGCCTTTTTCAAATAGCCCAGGCATTGTTGGGGCCTCAAGGTTGTGTGTGTGTCATCAGGGCAGTTTAGAAGTAAATGTATCTGTCTTTGAATCTACTAAGTGTATTATCCACTCCAGGAGACTTTGTGCCCTATTTGTGCACCCTAAATTCCTCCCTTCCTCCCCTCCTCCTTCCCTCCCCTCCTCCCTCCCTCCCTCCCTCTCAGCTATGTTCTAAGTTGTTCAGGTTTTTAATTCAGTCCAAATCCAGGTTCACATTACCAAAACAGTTGGGAAACTGAAGGTGACTTGAAGCCACTTTGACCAAGCCTTCTCCCAACTGTGACTGTAATATGTAACTGACACTATAATGGTAACAATTTCAGTACAAAGTGTACAATGAGCTACATTTCTTGGCATGAGTACTTGTATGACATCTCAAACTTAGTACCTTTCTGTTGCCATGCTCATATAGCACACCAGCATAACTTATGAAGCATTTGAGTGGTTTTCATGTGCTGTCTTCATCCTGATTTGTAAGCCTCTAACCATTAAGTACTTTGTTGTGAGTCACTTCGTTGATCTTCGGAATATAGTGATCCTCTTTATTCTCTTTGTTCTTCTTCCTTAAGTTATATTATTTGTGCACCTGAAAGGAACACAATATGGTATATCAAAGAGTAATTTAATTTTTTCTGGGGAAAAAATAGGATTTACTGCCTTTTTATGGCACTGAATCTCTGCTGCCTGGGGCTATCTTACAACAGTAGAGTCCAGGTTAAAGTATTTGTCAAGATTTTTCCAGCCAGGACACTGCAGCATATTGTGCCAAACCCTTTCTTTCATTTCAAACAAAAGGACTTAGGCTGGGTAGTTAGGCTGTCAACCAAACAGTCCTTAATGTGTCCAGTCAATGAGCTAAAGCAGATGTATAGGTGATCCAGTAAACAGATTCTTATGAGCCTGAAGCCAGATGAACAAGGCTGTTTGTCTGAGCTGCAACTGAGATTCAAAACTCTGGAGGTTACAGCTTCCAGGTCCATAGTATTAGGCTGCTCAGGCTGAAGGCTGCTCTTTTGGCGGAAACTGATATCACTGCCTATAAAGATCTGCAACCAGAATATCAAGCTGAATATGGGAGACCAAATGTTGGTGAATTAGCAAGAAACAGATGTTGTGTTTGTTAGAACTGATAGTTCAGGATTGCCCCAGGCCCTGAAGTTCTCTAGGCCAAAAATTGAGACCTAGGGATTCTCCCTAAGGTATTCAGTATGTGTTATGTATTTAGTATGAACCACAGTTGCTCCCTGCTTGTTATTCAAACATAAATACACACACACACACAAAACATATTTTCCTGATTAGAAATTAATCTTAGTTAAAGGGACTGTTCTCAGATCAAGGTGAATGAACAGATTATTTCTCTTGACTTACTTGTGGAGATGGGGTAAAGAACATGTTACGTAGCCTATCTGTTTCTTGTCAGAATGTGGATGTAGAGCAGAATGGGACAACTTAGCTAGCAGACGGAGCACAATCTGTATATTAGATGAGCGTTTTGTTTTAAATTAAGTGATATGGCATCATATAGTAATAACTGCAGTGCACTGAGACATCAAAGGTAAGGGACCCAGGTATTTAATTAGCTTTGGACTCAAAATCACCTACTTTGTAGTACTAATACAAGCTATGAACTAACTTATTAGAGAGGTGAATTTTAGACCAGAGTTAGGTGATAAGTTTTTAATAGAAAAAGAAGGGATCCTCATTTTATTCCCTTTTCTAATAGCCCATAAGGACAATGTCTAACATCCTGACATGAATATTTAATGCTATCACCCTAAATATGTCATATCCAATAATATTCACACTGTTTTCTGACACATTTATTTCTACATATAAGTTGCAAAGCTCTTCTGATGTCTAGCTTACATTTTCAATCATGCAAAAATATCAGATTCTTGCCCTCAATTATGACTAAGAAGATGTGTTTGGTGCCCCATGGAAGGATCTCATGGCAATACATATATCTACAAGAACATAGACCAGAAAGAGATAGAACATACTCATTGATCACAAGACATTTAATTTTGCATGTCCCAAAGTAGACACAGAAAGAACAGTCTGTCTTTGAACTGTACAGTAATGTTTTAAAGGCATTCATAAACTGAATCTAACTAAAATTGGATGTATATTCTGAGTGACTGTTTGCCATATACATTTTTTTTAAAGTTTCTTAGTGGATTTTTGTGCTTCTAAACAAGATAGAAATTGTCTGTCATCTTTATATTGAGTTCTTTTCCCATGTCCACATGACCAAAATGAAGTCAACTCACTGCTCTGCTGTTAAGTCCATACACTGCATGGCTGTATCCACAACAGAAGCACTGCATCCAGCCATCAGGGGAAATACAAGATTTGTTGTTCATTCATTCAGTCATTTCCGACTCTTTGTGACCTCATGGACCAGCCCACGCCAGAGCTCCCTGTCAGCTGTCACCACCCCCAGCTCCTTCAGAATCAAGCCAGTCACTTCAAGGATGCCATCCATCCATCTCACCCTTGGTCGGCCCCTCTTCCTTTTTCCTTCCATTTTCCCCCAGTATAATTGTCTTCTCTAAGCTTTCCTGTCTCCTGATGATGTGGCTAAAGTACTTCAACTTTGTCTCTAATATCCTTCCCTCCAATGAGCAGTCGGGCTTTATTTCCTGAAGTATGGACTGTTTGGATCGTCTCGCTGTCCAAGGCACTCTCAGAACTTTCCTCCAACATTTTAAATATGTCCTCCAAACCTGAAATGCCCAACATTTTTTCAAAACCAGGAGGTCATTTCAGCTTTCCATAAATAGT